GAGGACAGAACCCTACTCTTGTATTAACCAGTCATATGTAGGCCTCATTTCCTACCATCTCAGAATTGAAATGATAGTCATATTCCCCTCACAAAATTAAAGTGAGGCTAAGTATTAAACATTTAGTATTGTGTCTGACCAATAAGTAAATACTATTATTATCAACATATGCAAGCTTAAATTTTTTAATTGTTGTAAATGAATTCTAGTTTCACCACTTAGGAACAGATGTTTGGCCTGTGGCAAGCTGCTTAGCATCCAAGATCATGCTTTCTTGTTCATCATGTATAGCTCACACTTCTTATTAATGATTGAAAATTAAATATTATTAAGTACGTGTATAGTCAAGTATTGCTATTACAAATAGTATTATTAATACTCAATGGTACATGTGACTTCCTAAAAGGTATTAATGGAACGTAAGATTACTTTTGACTAGGAAAACATTTTCAGTTGGCACGGAAGCAGCTGTTATTCTGTAAACAGGTAACTCAAAATTCTATGAATTTGACAAGAGTCTCTGTTCCATGAACAGACATGTCTTAGTCTGCAGCACAGACAATGTGCAATCCTGAACAAAACAGAGGGGTCACTGAATGCTTGGGGGCTTACTTTCTACTGGTTAAATTGAACTATAAGCAAAACAAAATACATCGGACACAGGTGGACAATGACAACACCGCTAGCACAAAGCAATATTTGTAATGGGTACCTATTTACATTCAGAAATCAGTCTGATCTCTTCAAGTTCATGTACAATTTCCACTAGCAACTATTTATCATATATTACCTTGTAGCAGAAATCGAAGAGGCATATACTAATAACAGTGGCCACTATGTTCCTTGCTAACAATTCCACAACTAAATGAACTCTGTGCAGGCTTTCGTGATTTCTTTTTACTCCAGTCCTTTGTTAACGCACTATATTTTCTAAATATAAACTAATAGGGCTATTTTTCATTGGTACCAAATGGTCTGTTTGCCAATTAGAATAACACAGATGAGTGTTTCATTGTGTTTTAATTAATGTTATGTGAAACAACCTAAAAAGTCAAACAGCAGCCCACTGCAATGGTGCTTTATAAGCTAGGAAACACTGAATTACTACGTGCAATCCTAAACCCTACAGGTGCAAAGAAAAGAAGCATGAAGCAAAAGCAGTTCATCGATTGCTTCTTACACACTGGGTTAGAAGATTTTCACCCTCTTGAGTTATTTTCCATGGCTGTGACACAGCTGCTGATGCTAAATCAGAAACATTATAAATTCTCAATTTAGTTTTCCTAATAAAAATTCAGAGTTATAACCTGCATGACCACAGATAAACACCACTGAAAATGCAGCCAGCAACCTGTTTGGTACATTTGATATATATTAATACATGCACTCGACATAGTTTATTTGGCATTATCTGATGGAGGGTAGGTTATAGGAAATAAAGTGGTGGAAGGTTTTTACTGATGTGAATTGGGACACAGTTGACATGGTGTATACTTCATGATAACCACTGTTGCTTAAATACTGCTTTCTAGAAATGGTTACAGTACAAACTAGATTCGAAATATCTCAGTTTGCGATTTCATTCTGTGAACTACACAAAGCAATTATCATATCTTCTCCCTCTCTATGATTCCAACAGAGAATCAACTATGTATAAATAAAGCTATAAATAACTTGTCATGTGTAATCTTTATCTAGTCAGCATTTCAAAATGTGAGACAGAATATTTATTTTCCCTGTGTGCTCAAAAATACAGCATGAGCGCTTATAAAATGAAAAGAAGGAAACACAGAGGTATTACTTTCTCACATTTCCTTTTTAGGTAGGTATTAAATACAAACAAGATACAGACAATTTTTCAACAGAGGTCTTTCCTACCTCATATTCTGAATGTATCAAGGAAACAAAAAGATCTACAGAGTAAGCTTAATTCGGTTAATTTTCCGAATCCCTTAAGAGCAGCATGGTTCTGGTCTGACCTCAAAGAATTGTACTAAAACTGGCTCCAAATCAAAATCAAATAGGCTGCTTATAAGTGACATCAATATCCAAGATTTATGAACAACCAAAAGACTCATCCAAATTATGGTGAAAACACCCATGTTGCTCACCAGCAAAGAACAGTGTCATAACGACCCTGGGCAACACTAGAGGCTGGAGTAGACGGAAAACAAAGCCCATGGTAACACAGCCCCTGCTACACAGAAAATAAAGGCTTCTGCATGCAATCATATCTGGATCAAGGTTGATCTCAGACCAATTCCAAGCTATCCAAAACTATCCGTGATTTGCCAAGCACCATGACACAGTACTAGGTCTGGAATGATGAATGTAGGTTTTTAGTCCCCCTTTCAGCACACAGCAGCTAAGTGACCTTGAAAAAAAAACTGCGGTAACCTAGGTAATGAAAACATGTGGGTGAGCACTATGATTAAATGAAAGAATGTGGGCCAGCGTTGTGGTACAGCAAGTTAAATCACCACCTGCAATGCCAACATCACATATGGGTTCAGTTCCAGTCTTGGCTGCTTCATTGTGATCCGGCTCCCTATTAATGCAACTGTGAAAGCAGTGGAGGATGGCCCAATTCCTTGGATCCCTGCAACCATATAGGAGACCTGGCCCAGCCCCACTGTAGCAATCTGGAGAGGGAATTAGCAGATGAAGAAAATTCTCTCTCCCTCCCTCTCTTTCTGTCTGTCTCTCCACCTCCCTCACCAGCTCAACTTTTCAAGTAAGTTAAATGAATGAATATATATATATATATATATATATATATATATATATATAAAATAATGTCAAGGAGAACATTTTCCAAACAATGAACCTCTTTACAAAATTAGTAATCTATACAGCACCTGGAATAATTGAATTCCAAAGAAATAAATTATGCTCAAACTCCCAGAAAGATAAGTAAAATCAACTCAATTCCCAGAAACAAAACAATTTTATACACACTACTTGGATACATTCAATGAAAAATAATAACACACGAGAATGTGCCATCTTTGGGGCAGGTGTTTAGCAGAGTCATTAAACGCAGCTTGTGACGGCCACATCCACTGAGTGGCCGAGTTCATGTCTTAGCTAACACTGACTCCAGCTTCCGGACAATGCACTCCCTAGAAGGCAGCAGTGAGGGTGCAGATAGTTTCGTCACTGTCACTCCCATGGGAGACTCATTTGAGATCCTGGCTCTGAGCTTCCCCTGGTCCAAGTCTCAGCTCCTGCAGGCAGGGACATGGAGAGTGAACCACAAAATGAAAGATCTGTTTCTGTGACTTTCAAGTAAATTCAAAAAGTATTTTAAAAAAATGAATATGCTCAAAATTTTAGAAAATTCTATATTCAAAGTTTCTTCTATATATTAAATATAAATGTCATAAAAACTACTTAACAGACTGTAATTGTTAGGTAAACACAACCTTATAAATGATCTAAATTGTAAGCATTATTAAATAGAAACTATCTTCAGAGTATTTTGAAGATACCCAATACCATGAAATGCACTAATAAAACATTTACAAAGTCACCATAAAACTTTCTAGACTTAGAAGCATGTTACCTAGTATTTCTGACACAAATTGTTAACCTGAAGCTCAATCTTGATTTAAAAATGTAGCACTCACAATTCAGGAGCTAAGGCGCAACCACTTTGCAGCCCCCACAGTCTCCACAAGGGCAACTGGCTGCTCTGAAATGGGAGACCAGACAGTCAAAATTGCTCCAGAACACACTGCCAGGCTTCTTAGGTATGCATTGAAGTTCAATTTCCTTTCATCACAATCTTCTCCTCTCTTTCTTAAATAGTAATCTATGGTGAAATTTTTACTCCAAATTTTAAGCATTTGCTTCTAGGAAAAAAAAAACCAAGCTGTAAAATATACCTTGCCATGTGTCTTTCTGAACAAGAAACAAATATTGTTGAGTCTAACAGACAAGATATATCCAGAATAGATAAGGAACTCTGGCAATAACAATAAAAAGACAACACAATTAAAAACTGGGCAAAGGACATGGATACATATTTATCCAAAGAAAATATACAAACGAGCCAAAAAGCTCAGGAAAATATTGCAATGTTGCTAGTTTGCACAAAAATGAAACTCAAAACCAAGACACACTTCCTAGGATGGCTATAATCAAAAAGAATAAATAAATATTTGTGATAATGCAGAGAAATTGAATCCTTCACCTATACTTGGTCCACTTTTCAGAAATCAGCTGGGAATTTCTTGAAAATAATCAAACATTGAACTATGACATGATCCATCAATTTTACTTCATGGGAATGAAAACTCATGTCCATAACAAAATGCACATACAAATATTTACAAAACCATTATGTATAACTGCCAAAAGCACACACTAATTTAACTGATGGCTGAATTTTAAAAAATCGGGGTCCAGCATAATGGTTCAATTGGCAAACTCTCTCCGCAAGTGCCAGGATCCCAAATGAACACTGCTTCCTCTTCCAGCTACTCCACCTCCCTGCTTATACACTGGGAAAGCTGTCAATGATGGCCTTGGGACACTGCACTCTCACAGGAGAACAGGAAGAGGCTCCAGGCGCCTAGCTTTGGATTGGCTCAGCTCTGACCACTGCAGCCACTTGAGGAGTGAATCAGCAGACACAAGATCTTTCTCTCTGTTTCTCCTTCTCTCTGTAAATCTGTCTTTCAAAAAAAAAACAAATAAAATTTTTTTAATGTGGTAAATTGAAGCAACAGAATATTACTCATTCCTAAAAAGGAATAAAGTACTGATACACACTACAATGGGCATTCCCTTGAACACAGTATACCAAGGTATGAAAGTCTTTTGCAAATCATCATGCACTTTCACTCACACAAAATCCCCAGAAGACGTAAATATACAGAAGTAGAAAGTAGATTCAGGGTTTCAGGAGTTGAAAGCAGGCAAGAATGAGTATTTGGTTGCTTTTTGATGTGATTATTTTCATAGTCCAAAGATAGACTTGCATCAGGGTAATGTACCTTATGTCTATTAAAAGGCTCTCTTTTCCGTCTCTTCTTCCCTTACTGTAATGCCCAGAGTCAATATTCAGTCCTGAAAAGAAGCATACTGAATCATTTCACTCACTCTTTTTTCTTCTATGAAATAGAAATGACAAGTATCAGGTTCACTTACAGACTTTCTTTAAATGCACCTATCACTGGCTGGCAACTGTGCAGGCCTGCTTCAGACAGACTAAAGCAACAAACAATAGGACCTAGGTATAAAAGATACAATTCATAAGGTTGTGCTATATCATAGCATCCTAGCCTAATATGTCGTGATTCTGGGCAAGGGGGTTTTCATTCAGTGGTAATTCGCCTCTCTTGTCCATCACTGTCTTGTAAACAACCTCCAACAAGATTAGGATCAGAAGCACTGACATATCGGTTATGGTTCCCTAGTCCTCTAAATTCACCATCTAACAGTACATAAATCTAACTGATGCTTGTCAAGAATTGAAATCTGGGGCTGGTGCAATGGTGTAGCAAGCTAAGCCTCTATTGGTGGTGCTAGCATATCGGCATCAATTCAACTCCTGGCTCCTCCACTTCCAATTCAGGTCCTTTCTAATGGCCTAGAAAAACAGTGGATGATGGGACCCATGTAGGAGATCTGGAAGAAGTTCCTGGCTCCTGGCTTCAGATTGGCACAGCCCTGGCCATTGTAGCCATTTGGGGAGACAATCAGTAAATGAAATATTTCTCTCCCCCTCTGGATGGGAAGTGGAGCAGTCAGAACACAAACCAGTGCCAAAATGGGATCCTGGCACTTGCAAGGGTAAGACTATCTAATTAAGCCATTGCACTAGGCCCTGAAAATGTCTTCACAACACTTTTTTTCATTATGAATATCTATGTAATAATTTCAAGATGCAATGGCCCACAATAAATATTATGATCTCCCACAGTTTTTGTGGACCAGAAGTTTGGGGGAGAGGGGATCAAAAAGGAGATTCTCACTCAGGTCAAGACACTGCAGTCAAGATACACTGGCAAATCATGTGATCACCAGAGGAACAACCGGGGCTGGCGGTGCACTTCAGGATGGTTCACTGGCACAGAAAGTCACCGGCACTGCTGTTATCGCAGGCCTTTCCCCATGTGGATTTCATCACAGGTCTACTTCAGAATCTGTGAACTAGCTGCAGCTTTTCCCCAGAAAGATCCTGGAGAGCAAGGGACAGCTACAGAAGATTCACCGCCAGCACAGAGGACAGTTCTAGTCAAACAAGAGAAATGAATATCAGGCAACAACATCATGGGGGGCGATTCTACAGATGGATGAAAGTGTTGTCAGAATATCTCAGTGCAGAAGACTGTAGTACGTCATCAGAGCAGATGTTACATGGCAACAAAAGGGAAAGAAGCACAGTCGACACTGGAAAATGTGGAGGATTTTATTAAACTACTAGTGAATAAATCTATCTTGAAAAAATAATATGGTATCATATATAATGAGCTCAGAAGCAAATTAAACAACTCACTGCTATCACAAGTTTTTGATAAAACTGGAAGAAAAATCCATATGAAATATAGAAGTCATTACCAGTGGGAAAGCGCTCAGGGCAGCATGAATAGCGGCAAAGCATACAAGTCAATGCAAGTTATTGATAGGATGTGTTCTGACTCTGGGTGGGGGAGCAATCAATTCCTTCGTGCTAATTACATTACTGCACTTTACAAATTTGCACAAGCATTACCTAGAGAAGGACCGTGTGTGTACGCACATGCACTTACATATACACAATCATATACAATGCCCTGGTTGTTCATAATTTATTTATCCACAGCATATGCCAAATACATTAAGTAGATCATAAATGAAACTGTTAAGAAAGTGCGAACATTTGAGTAGCAGTACCTTTTGCACTACCTTCTACCTGGAGCGTTTTTTTCTAAGGAGATCATGTGCTACTATTTAATCAGAAATGTGGGTTTCCTGCACATAAACAAATCCTAGAAGAAGCTATTATACACAGGTACTCGGGAAACTTCAGGGTAGTTACAGATCATGAAAATACATCAAGAACCTCACTTGTTACTAAATTTTTAAAAGTTAAAATAAGGGACAAATATAAGCAATTTGTAAATGGAAGATGAGAGCTAAGAATTTAACTTAAAATAATCTCCTTGGCTGCTAAAGGGTATGTTCATCAAATCACAAAAGAATATTTTCCACGGATAATCACTTGCCAGTCTTTCAAAATAATGAAAAAAATAGGCTTTAATTTTTTTTAAAATGGGCTTTAATTCTGAAACAAATAACTTTCCTTGTTTTCTGAAATAAGGAGAAAGGGGGAAATGCTGTAATAGTAGCCTCTGGAGGGAAGACTTTCAGAATGGGAGTAAAACAAGCATAAAACACTTTATCTGGTGCTTTGTCCAACATAATATTTTGTTAAACTCATTTGTATGACAAATACTGAAAATACTGCTTTTTTCTGTATGAGAGTTAAATTTCCTTTCACTGAAAAACAGATGTTGATTCCACTGTCCTTCACTGATACATAAATTTGCAGCAACAAAATTATAAACCAGCCTGGACTAAAAAGAATTAGCATGTAGGCCTAGCCTGAGTACTTAAAAGCCTATATTTAATTTTAAATAAGGTTATATTTTGTTCATTTGAAATATTATCCACTAACTTTGCAACAGAACCTCAAACACTTCTGAGCCACAAAACAATTTTCTAAAATCAGACTGTAAATTTTTGAAGTTTTAAAAACCTTTGGCATTACTCCTGAGGTGGCTGATGAATTCTGTTTTACAATTTCTGAAAATACTCATACATCTTCACAATTGTTACATTTAAATAGTTACACATATTTGCATTTTCACATATTCTCGCTCTCTCCTTTCTTCTCTCTCCAAGAATCCAAAGTAAGCTGCAAGACTCTTGCTAATTCAAGAGACATATCAGCTAGTTTACATACAGGGAGGCCAGAGAAGCAGGTCGGTTCTTTCAGCAATCCAGTTAACAGTTTTGACACATGGATACTATACATACTAGGCTTGTGCAAAGTGCTGAAATGATCTGAAATATGATGACATCCCTTCTCTTTTAAAAATGATTTCTTAGGCAATCAGTAGTTTGCACAGACTCAAGAATTCTAGTGTGTTTAATCTATAAACTGTTTTTTTTTTAGTAAATTTTGAATAAAGACATTTAGAAGAAAAAGCAAAAATTGAAATGTAGAGTAAACCCTAAAATAAATTCATGAGAGAAGCACAAAGATTCATTAGACAGCATATTCAATGGAATAGGGAACCCCTCAATCAGAAAATGGATTTTAAAAAATGAATCAGTGGCAACACATATGGAAAGAATACAATTCAGACATGCATGTGCTCCAAAATAAAAATTTAACAAAGCTATCAATTAAAATATGGCTGGTGTGTATGTACGCACGCACATGTTCAGTGTATATGCACACATCAGGGGCATTTGTGTAGCAATTAGGTAGCCAATTAGGATGTTCACGTCCCATACTGGAATGCTTGGCTTCAATTCCAAGCTCCTGATTCCAGCTGCCTGCTCATGCAGATCCTGGGAATCGGCAGCAATGACTTGGCAGCTAGCTTTCTCCCCAGCATCAGTCTCTGCCTCTTGCCTGTTCAGGCACTGAAAGAGTGAGCCAGAGAATGCGTGCACGAGTTTGTGTTCTTTCTCTCACGCCTGCTAATTCATTATTAAGCACATCTTTGGTTTGTATGGCATATCATAATTTTTAACATCTATTTTCCTTTTAAAATTTTTAAGATAGAGCAAGCAGAATAAAAGAAAGAGAACTGTCCCCTTGCCAACTTGTAAGACCTTGATGAGTTCTTAGTTTCTGGTTTTGGCACTTACTAGCCCTGGCTATTGTGCCCATTTGGAAGTGAATCAATAAATGGAAGATTTTCTTTCCTTGTCTCTCTTCTCTCTTCTCTCTCTCTTTTTTTAAGTTTCACACAAAAGCACATGAATGTGTTCCTAGCAGTTTTATTCATTATGCCAAAACTTAAGAGCAATCAAGATATCCTTCAGCAAATGAACAGATATACTTCAGTCCATCCAATGAGATATTATTCAGTGCTTAAAAAAAAAAAAAAAAAAGACTAGGGCTCGGCGTGATAGTGTGGTGAGTAAAGTCCTTGCCTTGCACGCCCAGGATCCCATATGGATGCTGGTTCTAATCCTGGCAGCCCTGCTTCCCATCCAGCTCTCTGCTCATGGCCTGGGAAAGCAGTTGAGGCCCAAAGCCTTGGGACCCTACACGCATGGGAAACCTGGAGGAAGTTCCTGGCTCCTGGCTTCGGATTGGCACAGCACTGGCTGCTGCGATCACTTGGAGATTGAACCATCATACAGAAGATCTTTCCTCTATCTCTCCTCCTCTCTGTATATCTGACTTTCCAATAAAAATAAAATAAAGCTTTTTTTTTCAAAAAGGCTAATGCTTTAGGGTCTCCCATCCAAATCTATGCTAGGATGTAAGTGCTACCAAAACAGTATTATTAGACTGACTCAAGAGTGGAACAATGCTGTTATCAGATTGTCTGGTTTTCACAAGAGCAGTCTTGTGGCTGCTCCAGTTCAATCCTAGCTCCTTGATTATAGACTGGGAAAGCAGCAGACGACAGTTCAAGTCCTTGGACACCTGCAGCCATGCGGAGACCAGGAAGAAGCCCTTGGCTCCTGGCTTCGGATCAACCCAGCCATAGCCCATTATAGCCATTTGGGGAGTGAACCAACAGATAGGAGAACTTTGTCTCGCTGTTACTCCTTTTCTCAACCACCTGATGCCTCCCATGGTATACATTTGCAGAAGACAAGAACGAGGAACAAAGCCCGAACTTGGATCCAAGTACTCCAATGGACAATGAGGGCATCTCAAGCAGCTTCTTAACCAAAAGCAAACACAAACTTTTTACTAAAACAGAGTCAAGAGATACTCTTCAGTAGTCTGTGCTGCAAGGTAAGTTCCTCAGCAAGCTTCTCTCCTCACCTCTTATGCACATCCCATTCCCACAATTTGGCTCCTACATCTTTCTCCAATTACTATAATTCCCAAAATTGCCAAGAACCCTTTGTCTTCACAGACATCAGTGGGTGAGAATTATTTCCCTATGTGCAATGTCCTTCTGTGGGACAGCCACTGGGGCAGAGCATGTTAAGTAGTCGCTTGAGACACTGTCATTCCCCATCAGTGTCAATTAGTGTCCCAGCATCTCCACTTCCTATTCACCTCCCTGCTAAAGCACTTAGGAAGGCAGCAAGTGATGGTCCAACTGCTTGAACCCTTGCAACCCATGTGGGAGACCTGAGTAGACCTCTTGGCTCCTGACTTCAACCTAGACAGACCTGGTTGGTGTGGCCAATTTGGCAAGGGACAATGGATGGATAATCACTTCATCTCCCTTACCTCCTCTGAAAGTTGCATTATCCTCTTTAATCTTTAGCGAAGAAAACCTAAGAATATTAGCCACCCAGACAATATTTTAAAATACATAATCTGCTACAAAGAAATAGACATTCAGTAAATGCTTTACTTTGATG